CCAGGCGAGGACAGAGGCGACCAGGGCGAAGACCAGGGTGACCAAGGCGACAACCAAGGCAACGATCAAGGAGACGACCAAGGTGACACCGACGACCAAGGCGACCAAGGCGACGACCAAGATTACAAAGGCAAACGGGGCGATCACCAAGGCGACCACCGAGGCGACGACCACCAAGACGACGACCAAGGCGACGACCAAGGCGACGACCAAGGCGACGACCAAAGCAACGTTCAAGGCGACGACCAAGGCGACCACAAAGGCGACCACCAAGGCGATCACCACGACGACTGGGGCGACAAGCTCGACCAAGGCAACCACCAAAGCGACGACAACGGCGACCACCAAGGCGACCAAGGTGGCGACCAAGGCGACCAGGGCAACCAAAGCGACCAAGGCGACGGCCAAGGCGACAACCAAGGCGACCAAGGCGACGACCAAGGCGACGACCAAAGCAACGTTCAAGGCGACGACCGAGGCGACCACAAAGGCGACCACCAAGGCGATCACCACGACGACTGGGGCGACAAGCTCGACCAAGGCAACCACCAAAGCGACGACGACGGCGACCACCAAGGCGACCAAGGTGGCGACCAAGGCGACCAGGGCAACCAAAGCGACCAAGGCGACGACCAAGGCGACAACCAAGGCGACCAAGGCGACCACCAAGGCGACCACCGAGGCGACCAAGGCGGCGACCAAAGCGACGACCAAGGCCACCAAAGCGACGACCGGGGCGACGACCAGCCCGACGACCAAGGCGGCCAAGGCGACGATCAAGGCGACCAAGCCGATTGCGACGACCAAGGCGACCATGACCAGGGAGACCAAGGCGACCAAGGCAAACGGGGCGACCACCAAGGCGAAAATCGGCAGCTGGGTCGGCAGAAGTCGAATCGGCGGAAATCTGCAGCCTAGTAGGCCTCCATCAAGAAATCGGAGCCCAAATCGGAATCCCAAATCGAATCGAATCGGAATCGGAAGCCACCAACATCGGAACGAATCGAATCGCACGAATCGAAATGAGCCCTGCCAAGATGCCCTTGCGCGAACGCGACACCTTCGCCCACGCCCGCGCCCACGTAGCAGCACCCTCGGTCGCGCCCGGCGTGGTTACCACCCCCAGACTACGCAAGAGGCGGCACAAGCACAGGACGGATGCAACGTTTTCTGCCGACGGCGACCCGCCTCAACTCGGCGGCGAGCGAGGGGGGGAAATGAGAAGGAGAAGGCATTCTCAGAAGGCGGCGAGACTTCACAGAAGCCCTCGCGCCTTCTGACATGTTTTTTCTGTCTTCGGGGAAGGTTCAGGAAGCTTCTCAGAAGCCCCAGGGACTTCCGAGCCTTCTGAGAAGGCCCGCCACTTCTCACTTCCCCCCTCGCTCGCCGCCGATCAACGGAAGAAAATGATTGCCGTTGACCCGTACGATGTGAAAGGGTATCGCGCGACCGCAATTACGGCGACACAAAAGACGCCATGTCTTCCCCATCTGCATCGAGTCGACGCACAGCAGCTCGACGCGAGCCGAACCGAGCGGCAGGACCATGTGCCCTGCGTCGACGCTCTCGTGTGCGGCGGCGCCCGAAGGGATCCCCGCGGGACCACTGGTGGTCCTGGGGATCTGGAAGCCGCGGTATGCAGCGAGGGTCGGGAGGTCTGTTGTTAAAACCTATCAACCCCAACCTACTGGGTCGGGAACAAGGATTTCCCTTAGATTGCTGAAAGATTTTGGCGTTCTTGCCTTCTCGGGATTCCGAAAACCAAAATGTCCCCAGAATAACCTCCAAACGGCTCCAATGAACGCGCAAGCGCGCATACGCTACACATTCCAGATATACACCCCGCAAACCGACAGGAATGCATCCGACACTTTTCCAAATTCTAGGTCCTCGGGCAACCAGATATGCACCCCGCGAAGCGAAGGAAATGCATCCGACACTTTCAAAATCCAAGGTCCTCGGGCAAGGAAACGCAGCGACCAAGAAAACCCATCGTTCACGACCTCGGGCAGCTCCACAAGCTGCGTACACAACGGACATGCTGCACACGCTGGCACTCAAAACTAGGCCGAAGTTCCTCGGCCAGGCTCTGAGCACGTCTCGTGCGTTTTTGCGATCAACTGATGTATCCCAAACAATGATACTGAGGATACCAGGCCCAGCCCAGAATCCGAAGTGTCCACCGCGAAAGTAAATCACCATGTGCGACTATGCGGCGCCGAGTCACGAATGAGCGCCCTCAGGTTGGACTCTGGCTGGAACCTTCAAAAACAACGAGACCTGTCGTTCGATGCCGGGCAAGCGAAGACATCCTCAATCTAAAGAACACCAAGGCACTTCATGCTGGAGCCGTCACCACGTGTCACTATACCAATATGCCTCAACCCAATGCCAGAAGCCGCGAGACAGAAAGAGGCACACGAGAGGCCCTGAGAAATGCTTTAAGAGGGCCGAAGGGAGGTCCAATTCTGACAGTATCAATCGACCCCGAGTCCGACCTGGACAGGAGCTGGCATGGCTACCGATTGCTACAAGAGGAACTCTGGAGGCCCAGTGCGGCCGAAAGCACAAGTTCGAAAGTAGGGGCGGCGGAGGGCAGCGGGACTCCCTGAAGCTTTGGGCCAGACGTGGGTGGTGCGTACTAGGGCCAGCCAACTCGAGGCCTATTGGGACCAACTCCTGACCAACTGCGGCTTGCCTCGGCCACCGTCGGGGGTTCGCTGAGGCAAACCTTGCAAGCTTGCCACTCCGTCCTCCCGCGCCCCGCTCCACCTACCAACATCTTGCGCATTTCCAGTCACGGTCGGCGGAACCGTCCGCAAGGCCCCTGCTTCATTGAGAAAAATGTATGCTTTCCCTCGGCCTCCCTCCTCCCCACGCGTCCTCCTCCATGCTCCCTTTCCTTCAGAACATCGGCCGCGCGCCTGATTCTTCACATGGCGCTCCGACGAGCTGGAGGAGGCCCTGTCAGGCCTGTCGAAAGCCGCGCACGGTCAGGCTGTCGGGCTCTCGGTCAGAACTCTTCCTGCTGCTCGTGGTGCCCCGCCACCTTCTCATCATCACCAAACACCATCGCCACCACCACCCCCACCACCACCACCAGTATTACCATAACCATCACCATCATGACCAACAGCATCAGCAGAAAATTCATCATCACCTCCACCACCATCGCCGCCACAAGCATGACCATCCTCACCATCATGATCACCAGCATGCTCAGCATCTCCATCATCATGGTCATCGCCGTCAACACCATCATGATCATCATCGTGATCAGCATCTCCATCCCGCCCCTGCCTTCTTCCAGCCTTTCCTTCAAGAGACTGCCTCACAGCTCAAGCTCCCCTCCTGCTGCCCATGCCCTTCCCGTTGCCCGCTCGCCCTCCGCCGCCCCTCAGTCGCAATACACACACACAGACACACACACACACACTCACACACGCACACACACACACACTTACACACACACACACACACACACACACAAACACACACACACACACGCACACACTCACACAAACACACACACACACACACACACACACACGCACACGCACACGCACACGCACACACACACACACACAAACACACACACACACACACAAACACAAATACCCACACAAACACACATTTGTTGTCGCCGCGGCGCCGCGACGGCGACGGGGTGAGAAGGCGTGTGAGATCACTGGCTGACCCCTCCCCCCGTTCCCCCTCCCCTGGGGTCCAAACTGTCGTTTGAGGGGGGGGGGTCGAGCTCGCCAACGCACCCTGGAGGCGTCTGGCGGCCTCCATAACCTCGAACTCCAAATTGCCGTTTGAGGGGGGGGGGGGGGGGGGCGAGCTCGCCAACGCCCACGAATGGCGAGTTCCAATTTAGGCCTGCGTGGGGCGTCGCTTCGCTGCCCCCCCGCCCCCTGCGCAACCCTCGAACATGGCGACAGTTTCGCAATTCGCAGCCCCGCAGGGATGGCGAGGTCTGAAGGTCTGACTCCGGTCTGCGTATGGCGCCACTCCGCTCCCCCCCCCCCCTCGGCAGCCCTCGAAGGTGGCGACGGTTTCGCAGTTCGCAGCCCCCCCCCTTCCCAGGGATGGCGAGGAGGCAGGGCACCAGGCAGGCATGGGGCAGGGCAGAAGGCAGGCACGAGGCAGAGAAGCAGGCAGATAAAACGGGGAGAAAGGAAGGAGGAGGGAGGCGGGAGGAAGTCGCGGCCGCAGCGACCGATGCAAAGCGGGAACCCTGCGCAGGAGGGTTGGGAAACAACGAGATGTAACCGAAAAGCGACACGAGGAACCCAAGAAAACACCGCGGGTCCTCCAACAGCTCTCACAACATGATATCAACGCTCAAAGACCTTGTCATCATCACCATCACCAGTACCAGCATGACCGTAACCAGAAGCATCATCACCAGTATCGCGGCCGTCGTCATCAGCCCCAGCATCACCAGTCATACTGATCATCATCATCATCATCCTCATCATCATCATCAGCATCATCAGCATCAGCATCAGCATCAGCATCAGCATCATCATCAGCATCACCAATATCATCACCATCATCAGCAGCAGCATCATACTGATCATCATCACTGCCACCATAATCACCATAGTTTTCATCATGTGGCCTTCCTTTTCAACTTCCTCCTCCTCCTTCCCCTCGGTTTCGTCCTCCTCCTCCTCCCTCCTCCCTCCTCCTCCCTCCTCCTCCTGGTCGTCTTCCTCCTGTTCCTCCTCGGCATCCTCCCCTCATTGAAACTCTTAATCCAAGCAATTCGCATGGACATCGTTTCTGGATGGGCAGGTGGGATACTTTTGGTTGGCGGCTCCGTGGCGAAGGTCAAGAAGCGGCTCCCTTTCTGGATGGGCAGGTGGGATACGTGAAGCGCCAATACTTTTGGATGAGGACCTTCGACGGCCATTCCGAAGGAAACCTGCACCACGTCGCGCTGGCGATGCTTTGCAATGCATGTGCGAAGTGCCACGCGACGCGATTTGAACGCACGGTGTGCGCATTAGGCGTGCTATAATTACGCACGATGTGGGACACGCTGAATGGCATGTTCTGCGTTGCCTCTGCTGTCAATGTTTCACTGTGCGATGCGAACCACGAGCCGTATACAAAATGCCATCGCCTATACAATGGAACAACGTTACAATAATATATACCTAGTGCGGTACGTGTGATATTCTAAGAAAAACTAAACGCACCCGCCACTGGCCCTGCTGTGGCAACACGTGCTGGTTGAAGCGCGCATGAAAGCAACGCAAACTGCAACTTGATATGTTTCGGGCTGGCATGCGCGATGGCAACGAAAGGCATACCTTACTGGCGTGCCAAGAAAATAATGCATCACTGCAACCACAAGCCGTGAAACCACCCCCTTCGGAACGGTACGTAAAGGAAGTTGCCGGCCAGTTCCCCTTAGGCCATGCGCCCCATGGCGCGTCGGCGGGCGCAACATGATGAATGAGTTCAGGAGGTTAGGTCAGGTTAGGGCAGCCCCGAGGGAGGAGAGACTCGCAAATCTGAAAACGAGACCGTGGCGTCTCTCAGAGGGCCTATTGCCACCCTGGCGGGGATGAGGCACCCACCAGGGCCGCAGCATGACGCCACCAATAGCACTGCTCCTCGGCTTGGGCTTCACAAGCCCCAACCCGCTCCCGAAAAGCAACCATGTGCTGCTCGTTCACAGGCACAGTCGGCAGCGGAGAAAAAGCCGAGGGTACAGCAGCTATTGCCAAGGTCTGGACTCTTAAGCTCAAGATCCACCAATAGCCCCCAGGCCTGACCATAAGAATCAATGACTTGCCTCACCCTGTTGCTTGGCTTCAAACCGCTGCGATACTTACGGAGGTCCTTGACGCCTGTTTTAAACCAGGTGCAATGCGACTTGGCGAGGTCCCTGGCACACCTCTGGGCCTAACAACCAGAACGAACGGACAACAAGTGGAGCTGAATTTTCTTAGACCCAACTCGCGGGGCCCACACGTGTATTTCGTGGGAGGCGACTCACACTAACAGGTGCCCCTGGGGCCGTCCGAAGAGGGAGGACACAAAACTTGGAGCATCAGGGCATCCAAGGGCCTGCTGAAGACTGCCAACCTTAACTAACGCCGGTCACTGCTTACACTGGGTGCCCAAGGGGTCCTTCCTGCCACTCGTGCCAGCCTGGTGCGGATCGAAGAAACCTCACTCTCGCAAACAGCCGTTCACGCTGAGCACGAGCATGGTACAACGAGAGGATGGTGGCAGCCAGCTTAAAAAAGTTAGACACAGCACGGACGTCATTATCTATTCTCACAACAACACTCGGATGGATCTCAGCACTGAGCCTCAAGGCCTCCTTCGCGTGAGCGTCGGGAGCACGGTCACCCTTCGCGGGGGCCCTCTGTTCCAGCGCCAAATATCTATCGCGTCCATGCTCCCGTGGTCTCTGACGTAAGAGAACTACTCAACAAGACCGCGGCCAGGTAAGGACCCCGCGAACGCGGAGACGCCAGCGCAATCCTTAGCTGCACGAAAGTAATCGTGGTCAGGCAAAAATGCTTCACTGATGGCAGTTTTGCAGTCAGCATCCACACAAACAAGACAATCCACGATCTGGCAAGAGACTGCCAACGCGAAATGTTGTGTCATCGCTGGTGCCAGGGGGAACCCTCCAGGCACAGTGTTGCACATCGCTGACAGGGTGGCCTCGGCCAGGGGATCATACAGCAGCAAATGTGGCAAGGTGGAAACAAGTAAAAGTCGACATCTGGGTGCTTCCATCAACTGTGACATGCAAACGAGCAGAATCGCCAACAACATGGTTGGCCTCATCGGGTTCCAGGAAGTCCACCAGGAGCCACCACCGTTGGAATTGGGCGACGGGTTCGGCGGCCACACGAGGAGTGTCACCAGACCCGATACGAAAGATGCCTCTCGTGGTGAACACTGGACCAGGATTTTCGGGGGCCCCCTCAAACTGGAGCTGGTGCACTCCAACGTCGGACATAGCCTGCGCTGCGTCGGGTAGCGTACCTTTGTGGAGCCTGTGGACGTTATCCATGTGGCCGCGTAGGCACCGCCGAACCCCTGCTCGTACAGTTACCCCGCTCGTGTTCGAGGGCCTCAATCCGAAGGCATCCTGTGCCACGCGCATGAACAATGTACTTCTGTCGTAGACACATCTGTGGCTGTCTGAGAAGAATATACGCGTTGCCTTATTCAGCGCCGCGCGCGCACCATCAAGACCAACCGTGCAACTCCCAGGCAAAACCAAATGCCCCCCTCCTAAAGCATCACCGTGGAAGGCTTGCATGCAATGTGAAACATAACACGCATAAGCTGACGCAGGCTTCCACCATGCACGGGCCAGGCACAAGGAGACGCAAACGATCGGACCACGAGTGCGAGCCCATGAGGTCTCGGATCCATTCTGGGTGGGATACGTTATCCCAAGTCCAGACTAGGTCCTTCAAGACACACGCGTCTGCTATGAGAAAAAACAGCGGTTTGCAAGACTATTGCGCCACTGGATAGCTTAACCGAGCGCCCCCCGCACGGTTGGATCTCCATGTTACGCAAGCTTCGCCCTGAGGCTACCACCTCTGGTTGACGACAGAAAGCTAGCTGCCTGGCGTCGAACCACAATCGCTTAGAAGCCACTGGATACGCTTGGCCAGCCTGCGCATGTGTCCCGGCCACTATGCTTCTGTCTCTTCCACACCAATGGACTCCTGCATCGTCGAGGTAGCTCGCGAAGTCAACCACAGGGCACCTAGACATGTACCTGCCATACACGGCGTCGGTGGAGGCTCTCGCCCCCTCGTTTGTAAACGCATAACCAGCCTGACACCCTCTGAAGCCATAGAAGACTAAAGGGCTGCGACGGAAACCCATACGCACGAAACGTGGGGCCTGCCATGCATTCATACGATCGCTGAGAATAACGGGGGGAACTCGCTGCAGCCTCGCTGCCGGCTGTCTGGCCAAGCGCGCTGCGTCCTGCCGCGCCGCGGTCGAGTCCAGCACGCGCGCGTGCCAACTCACGCACGAGGAGGCTCTGCCATGCCGTGCACAAGCCTGAGCAGAGGATGATAAGACGGTGCCCTTGGTCAGGCTTAGCCAGCATCAGCAAAGCGATGAAGCAAGGCTGCCTCGACGGGGCGCCTGGCCGCTCGCGCCCCTCCAAGATGGCGGCCATGGCGTCGTCGAGCCCCTCGTCGGGTAGCAGGCCAACGCGGCGCTGGTTAGCCCGATCAGTGCCGGCGGCAGTCGCGCGCGGCAACTATTTCGCACCGTCTCGCAACGCCTGCGCACTAACACTGCGCATGACCGACCTGTCTGGCAGCCGCGCCGCAGTCGGGTATTGACGCGCACCCGCAACCTCCTATTTTTCGCCACCTCAGCGCAAACTATATCATATATCATGGGGGTGGGCTCATGTGCCCCCCACGGACCGGGCCACCGAAAAGTGCCGAGCGCAGGGCAATCGAGTGGCACGGTGAATGCATCTCGCTCCGCTCGCCGTCGCTCCATCCCTGCACGCAGTGCTGCTTCCTCTCGCTCGGACCTCCGATGGCCCCGTCGCCCCAGGCGGCCGCCGCGCGGGCGGCTAATGAGCGGCGCCGAGGTCGTCGAGTTGGGAAGCGCAGATCGCGCGAGAACAAGGGCCTCGCCGTCGTCGCCGTCGTCGTCGCTGACCCCCTGGTCCAAGTCTAAGAACGGGTCGCACTCCAAATCGTCCATCCGACTGATGCATCGCGGTGGGCCGCCGTGCCGAGATGCTGACGAGGGTCGCGCAGGTCCAGCCCCAGCCGCTCGAAGTACAGCTCGAGCTGCATCAGCCCTCGCGACAATGACACTGTCGACAGGGCGAACGCGCAATCAGAAGTAATCCGCCGACAAGAAAACTTCCACCTCCCCCTCGAGGCGCGGCAGCACAGGGGGCCCGTTCCTTAGGAGCTGGACCAAGTTGGATTCTCTTCTGATTTTGTCGCATCCACTCGCGAGCGATCGCCACCTCACCAAACGTAGACTCTGGGCGGCAATGATAACCGACCCTCATGCAGTCCGCCCAAGAGCTCCACCTACAGCGCTGAACATAGACTTCTCTGCCGTCGCTGGGTCGGCGAAAGCAACCGACTGGGAGCAGCGAGGGCATGCGGGCAAGGGGCGGGCGGAGATTTCGGCGTCGAACTTCTCGCCGACTGAATGCACCGCGCGCTGCTTCTTCATGCCTTCTGAAGACAGACCGAGCACTCGTGGCGGGTGGTGTCTCTGCGCCCATGTCGCGCCCACGTTCGTCTCCATCAACCGTTTGGATGCAAAGTTAGCCGCGAAGGAATCGGCGGGCCGCGCAGATGCCGAGGCAATGCACGTCGAGAGGGGCAGCGACACGACAGCGAGTTTGGCTTCTCTCGCGATACCCAACACTTCCAGCTGTCCTGGACTCGCATTCCAATCATATGCTAAGATTGCAGGGCAACAAACATCATATCCTCACGCCGATCTGAGCTAGGATCATCGCGCTGCTGCCACTGCAACCCTGGTCGGCCATGAGGCCTAAGCGCGCCGCGCGCAGCGGCGGCAAATCCGAAATCTGAACGACTGCATGGATGGCCCTTCGCTCGTGGACCACAAAGTCCTCATGATCAGGCCCGCGCAAGACAGCGCTTGCCCCCACGCGACATGCCGCGCCATGAGAGGGCGCGGCACCTCTGCCAACAAACGCTGAACTGAGGAGGCACTTCCAGCCACGTTTGGCTGCCCACGATGCGACATCGTCTTGGCGCGCGTCTGCTACGCCAACCTCCTGAGTCACGAAGACTGTCGCCGTCGGCGCCTGGATGCGTTCCTTGAGCGCGCGCGCGCACCGCGGCCGGCACTGAAATATTCAAGGAACAACCCACTTCTGCGGCATGGAGACGCACGAGGTTCGACGCTGCCCATGTGCACGGGGATACTGCTGATGAGCACATGAAGCTTAGACCCTTTGCTTCTACGTTTCTTACCTAGGCGCTTCGTCCCAAAAATCTTAGAACTGCGGTGGCCCGCCTGATTCATCTAGCTCGACATTGCTGGCGCAGAAATCACGCGTGCGTTGGA